AATGATTGATGTCAGCCCTGGCCCATGTGACTTAGTTGATTGGAGCATTGTCCCATGCACTGAAAGGTCAAAGTCAATGGTTCAATTTCCAGTCAGGGCACATACCCAGATTGCAGGTACGATTTCCTATCGGGGCATATGCAGGAGGCAACCAATTGATGTTGCTCTCTTACATCGATATCTCTCTCTTCCCTCCCTCTGTCTCTCTAAACTCAATAAAATAAAATTTAAAACGTTAAAAAAATGATGTTTTAAAAAGGTTTCAGAATGACTGTTGGTTATTACTAAAGTGAAAAATATGGTGTGATCCCAAGGCCTGATTTGTCTGGTTCTGGAGCTCAAGGGTTTGAGTTAAGGCTCCTTGCACCCATAGACATCCGTTTTTCAGTATTGGTTGAGCCTTCCCTCTGCCCTATTAATTGGCAACATATTTTTTTAGGGCATTCCTGTCTATAAGTGTCTTGAGGCAGAGTGAGGCTGGGTATTTGTTGGGAATCTCTTGACTTAGCAGACAGAGGAATCTCATGGCAATTAGGGTTTGGTGGCTAAAGAAAAGGGCTATAGTGCAAAGAGAAGATTATTTTCACGTGATGAGTCTGGGCCATCCACAGACTGCTGTCTGTACTTCTTGAATGGCAGGTAACATTGAATTGTAGCAAATAGCTCTCCCTATTTGTTTCTAGCTTTGAAGACATTTATTCCTCTGGCTATAGGCCAAGGAAACCTGGCAAGCTTAGAAGGTGCACAGAGCATGACAGAAGCACTCCAGTACAGCAGCTGTGTCAAGGAGGAGGATCTGGAAAAGTGGACTTGCTGGGGATGAGGTACATATTAGAAGTTCTCCACTTGAGCACCATAACTGCCTTCTCCAGCATAGCATATTTAGGTTTTTTAGGCCAGCATGGCTTACACACTGTCCTCTTGCTCTGGGCTGCAGCAGTTTCACTACTATCCCTCTTGACAATGTCTTTTGGGGACAAAGAAATCATGAAGGACCTTGGTAGGGAGCCCTCCGTCACTCTTCCCCACCTTCTGAAGGCAAGAAACTTTCCTCTTAAAAGAGTCAGTGAGGCCGAAGCCGGTTTGGCTCAGTGGATAGAGCGTCGGCTTGCGGACTGAAGGGTCCCAGGTTCGATTCCGGTCAAGGGCATGTGCCTGGGTTGCGGGCACATCCCCAGTAGATGTGCAGGAGGCAGCTGATCGATGTTTCTCTCTCATCGATGTTTCTAACTCTCTATCTCTCTCCCTTCCTCTCCGTGAAAAATCAATAAAATATATTAAAAAAAAAAAAAAGAGTCAGTGAGAGCTCCCAGCCAGTTTTTTGAAAAAGGCCTGTGAATTGTTAATGGAAATGCACTGGGAAAGAAGGAGGGGCTTGGGTACTTTGAAGTGCTTGTCTTGGTGTCTTGTACAGTATCTTATTTAATTGCATCTTCACAGCCTTCGCGTGAAGGAGCTTATCAGTTAACTTCAATTGTGTATAACAAAACCCCAATTAAGTTGGCTTAAATAAGGAAGCACACATGACAAGAGGTCATTTAATATGGCTCCGAGTTTGGTTAATTCAGTGGCTTGATGATAATACCAAAAACCAGGTTCTTGAAATCTTTTTACTGTGCTGTCCTCTATGTTGGTTTACACTCATGCTAGTTCACCTCAGAGTCCCAAGATGACTACCATAATCCCAGAAGGAAATGCTGACAGAACAATGTCTTACAGAAGAGGGACTAACTTTTTCCAGTGTTTCATTTAAAGTGAGAAAATCCTTGGAAGCCTAGCAGATCTGGCCTCATGTCTCATTTGCTAGAAATGGGTCATCTTCCCACTCCTGTCATTGGCAGAGCAAATGAGATCATCCATCATGAGTGGCTGAGATTAATTAGGGGTTACCCTCTAAATCATGTGGATTAGAAAGACAAGTCATGTCTGTTAGGTGAGAAAGAAAGGGATAAGGGTTTGGGTAGGGATCCAGACAGCAGTGTCTGCTCTACCTAGGTCCTTGGGTTTTTAAGGATCAGGAATGTAAGGCTAAGAGAGAGTGACTTTTCTAGGATCACAGATAGTAGGTGAGAGCCTTCAGCCTCAGCTCTGTCCCTAAAGCCAGTATGTTTTTATTTTTAATATATTTTTTGAAAAATACATTTTTATTGACTTCCAGGAGAGGAGGGATGAAGGAGTGAGATAGAAATATCAATGAGAGAATCATCAATTGCCTGCTTCCTGCGTGCAATTGAGCCTGACCTCCATAACCTCCTGGTTCATATGTCGATGCTCAACCATTGAGCACACTGGCTGGGCGAAAGCCAGTATGTTTTATATTGTGTCCTGCTGCAGTACAAAGTACACCTGATCCTTGAACAACACAGGCTTAAACTGCACAGGTGGGGTTTTTTTTAATATACGGATTTTTTTTCAATAAATATTTAGCCTTCTGTATTTTTCAGGTTTCCCACCTGCATAGTCAACCAGTTGCGGATTGAAACAGTATTTTCAGTCCTCCATTGGAATTCAATAGATGTTGAGAGCTGACTGTATGCATTGTTCTACACCATTTTATATAAGGGACTTGAGCATTCTTGGATTTTGGTATATGCAGGGGGTCCTGGAACTAATCCCTGAAGGAGGATCATAGTTAAGTCTTGGGAGAGTCAAAAGTTATATGCTGGTTTTCAACTGTGTGGGGATCGGTGCTCCTATCCCCTGTATTATTCAGAAGTCACCTGTAGCTTGATTTCTGCTGTTTAAAAACTTCTGGTCTAGAAGAGATTTTAAACTCAAGTGTCACATCAACTAACTTGAGCCTATATGAGAGGAGAGGATTCCATCCAATTGTTCCCCTTATCCAGTGATGGTGTTTATCTAGGACAGGAAGCCTAGGAATGCAACATTCAGAGGGCAGTGATTTTGTTGCCCCTGATATTTCTGTACCCCCTTCTGAGAGCAGCCAGTGCCTCAAGGGATAACGGCAGAGTTTTAGCCTACTTCCTGAGCCATTGAAGCCCACTCATTCATCCATCCCTCCCACAGCTATTTACAGAATGCTGCTATGTGCCAGACACTGGCACTGTTCTAGGCATTGGGGCTGTAACAGTTAACAAGATGCACAAAGACTCTCCTGTATGCCCTTAAGAGCAGACTCATTTGGGAATGAGGTTATCAAAAAATAATGTGTGCATATGGTCAGGAGTAAGCCTCATAGAATTTTGCTTTTGGCAGAATCATTCAAACTTTTTTGCTTTCTCACTTCCTGATATTACAGTTCATAAGCCGTTCCTATGAACTCACTCTAAAGAGGTGGGGTCCTTGGATAGCAGAAGTAGATGGTAAGGCATCATTGACATTTGCTAAATTGGATCCAATTGAAAGGTCCAAATCCTGTCAGTGTCAACAAAGATGATAGTGGCCTACTTCCAGGGTTCATCACCATCACCATGTCTACTCTGGAAGACACCGAAGAAGCCTGCATCATTAGAAAACAGTTCCAGAATTAATTAAGGTTGAAGGTGTGAGAAACCCTTGCACAACAGTTGGTATTTACTGTTTGATGCTCCCATAGACTTGGATTGTGTACGGTCAAGGATTGAAAATAATTTTGAAGATACAGTATTTCATCTGGTGACACTAAATTTGACATTTTTAAATTTGGGAGGGCATTTTCAGTAAAAGGTGTAAGGATGGAAAGGAAGAAATTAGAATTGGAATCAGATGTGGGTTTAAATCCAACTTATAAAGTGTTTACAGGTAGGTGCCTCTAATAAGTGCTTTAAAATAGTTAATATAATAGTAACCATTTTAGTAAATGCTAAAAGAGTAACCAAAACAATAACTACTTTTCAAATTCACTAACATTTAGGAGGGTTTTCTTTGTGCTTTAGTTACATTTCCTAACTTCACAATTCTAAGGTACATGTTATTCTCTCCATTTTTTAGATTAGGAAACTGAAGCCCAGAAACTCAAGTGACTGATCCAAAGTCCTACAGTGATTGGGGCATGGGGGGAAGCACACTTAAGATAGGGTACTTTTTCTTTTTTGTCCCAAGCTTTAATAAAAGAATGAACTTCGATTTTAAAAAGTCTAACCATTACTGATGCTTAAAGACAGGGAAAAGTCATGAATCATCAGCCTGAATAAAATAGTATCACCATTAACGTTTACATTCTAGTGGGAGAGAGCAGTAGTAAAAAGAAATTACAGATTAGGACAGGATTACTGTAATAGGAAAACAGGTGTCCCACCATACCCGAAAAGCCCTCTCAGAGATAAATCTTAAGTTGAGGCATAAAAAGGCGAGAGTGGAAAGAGGATTCCTGGCCAAGGAATCAAAGCAGAGGACCCCAAGCCGGAAAGAAGCGCTTTGCCATTGGGGGAAGTAGAAGCAGACCCTGTAACTAGCATAGTGATGAGGTTTTGCTTGAGAAAGGCGGGGATCCCATTAAGCCCAGCGTTTGGACCCTGGAAAGGAGTTTGGGTCTTCTCAGTGTGACGAAGCGCTATTAAAAGAGTTTTAAACGTGGAAATTATTCGATCTGATCTGTGTAATGTCCTGTTTCTTAATCATCTTTTCCCAAGCGAAATGGTACATCCCCCCCCCCCCCCAAAAAAAAAAAAAAGTCGACAAAGCAAAGCATAGACTTAAGAGTGATCAGTGGCGGTTACTTGATCGCCTGCTGAGGAGGCGCGTGGGGCCGCCCAAACGGCGGGAGGGAGGGACTCAGCGATGAGGGCGGCCCAGCCCAAGCCTTGCTCTGCTGGGGCCCTCAGCTGCAGGTCCGGGCCGCACCTCGGACCAGCCCCTTCCAGGTAGGCTCCTCCCCAGAGAAGCTACGCCGCCCTCCGCGACGTCGTCTCAGGCAGACCGGGTGGAGCTAGGAGCGTAGTCCCTGCGACTGTCTCGGGCTGGCACAAACCAGCGGAAGGCCGTAGAAGGGCCGGCCCCGCCCGCACCCCGCCGCTTTGAGTCCCAGGCCCCGCCCAGACTCGGCGCCAGCTCCCCGACGCCCCTGCATTGCTCGCACGGACGACGCGCCCGCACGGCTCGGGACCGCGAGGCCTGGGTGTCGGGCTAGCCAGAGCAGCGGAACTGACGCAAGCGGACTTCCGGGGCCGGCCCCGGGGAGGTCGGCGGCGGCGCCGCAGTCGTGGAGAGGCAGTGGGAGCGTGAGCGGCCACGGGCGACGCAAGTATCTCGCCGAGCTCACCTCCCGTCTCGCGCTTCTCTCCTAGTCGCGTGCTGCCTCCCGCCGGCGGCTCCTCCCGAGGAGAGTTTTCGCCGCGGTTACTGAGAAGAGACTGTGGCCACCCGCCCCGTGGCCAAGTGAGACTGCCTGTCGCACCGCGTCGCCCCCTGCGCCGCCGCCTTGCCCCCAGTGGCGGGCGCCCTTCTCGCTCGAAGCACTCCCCCCAGCTCCATGAATGGAAATCGGCTCCGCAGGTGAGTGTCAGAGCTGTTGGCCGGGTCAGCGGGGGTGTCCCCAGAGCATCGTCGTTCCCACAGCCCCGGCCCCGGTGTGCGAGGTCCGAGGTCCCGGCGTCTCCTCCCCTCCGCCGGCCCCTCCTCCACCTCCGCGTAGCCCCGCCGCAGTTCCCCGGAGCCACCGAGTGGGCGAAACTGCGGGGAGGGGACACTGCTGACAGGATTGAAGTTTGGGGCGCTCCAGGCGGTGCACCTCCTGGAGTGCAGAAGGGTTTGCCATCACTTTCGTATTCGGGTTGGGGATGTAACGGTGTGTGTTCCCGTCGAGGCGCTGGGCGCCTATTACTTACCTCTTAAGGTGGTTATGTAGATAGGACAGATGAGGATTAAGTTTGGGTTTAGTGCAGCGTCAAATGCAAGATGGCATTTCTTCCATCCCCGAGCTCTCTTCTGATGTCCGTGGCAGCCTGGTATATACAGGGTGGGGCAAAAGTAGGTTTACAGTTGTCCGTATGGAAAATAATACAATAATTAATAAACAAGAATAAACTGTTTTCGCGTCCTCACAACTGTACACCTACTTTTGCCCTACCCTGTAAGTTCTTGAGGCTCTTGGGAATGTCATATCAGGCAGGATCGTTGCTGGCGTGAGGAGGTGAATCATAAAATTACTGACAGTATTTTATTTTTCATTCTCTGTTCCCTAGAGAAGAGTTGTCATATTCCTGGAAATTTGGCACTTAAGAAAACCGCTTTCTCTCCTTAGGAAAAACGATGGTCTTGAGGAAAAAATGCAATTTGGGCAGCATTTATCTTAGAAGAAAAAAGCGATCTTTATGGTTCTTAAGTAATTGAGGAACATAAAGTAGACATTACATAACAGTTTGCTTTCCAAAGGATCATTCATACTTGACATGCTAAATTTGTAAGTTTGCTTCATCCAGATTGTCACAGACTTATAAATTAATTTTCAAAATATTGGTGGGGCAGAGGGTGTCTTGTTACTAATGGTATCATAAGCCCCTGAATTTCATACCTCACTTTGCCAATTTGGGAGGTGCCTGAATATGAGATAAGAAAAGCTTATATAAAAGAAACTGGTGGTTTAATGTTAAATAATTTATTGACTAGGTTAAAGAGTATAATTGTAAAGTAGGTGCAAAAGCATTCCAATGGTAGAGGTGGGATGGGGAGTTTTATTACAAGTCTTATTATATGGAGTTTTCTCTAATCAATTTGTGCCATTTCTCTTTTGCACCCTCCATTAAAAATATTTATTTTGCCTTCTTCATTTGTCCTTTTTTAAAGTGTTTCTGTCTCTCTGTCTCTCTCTCTCTCTCTCTATATATATATATATATATATGTATATATATATATTTACTTATTTACTGATTTCAGAGAGGAAGGGGGAGGGAGAGAGAGACAGAAACATCATGAGGAGAGAGAATCATTAATCAGCTGTCTCCTGCATGCCCCACAATGGGGAGGGAGCTGGAAACCCAGCATATGCCCTGACTGGGAATCCAACTGTGACCTCCTAGTTCATGGGTCTTCACTCAACCATTGAGCCACACCAACCCGGCTTCATATCTTCTTAAAAAGGGAAAGTTTGTCTAGATTGTGAAAAGTTTTAGACTCTTATTTGTTTATCATTAGTTTGTGTTTTTCCAAAACTGTATCCTGCCTTTTTTTTTAACTTTCTACTATACTTTTTAGAGAATGTGATGATTTGTGGATATAGGTGATTTTTACGTAACTATCCTGTTGTCAAGCCTGGAAAACAAAACATAAAACTTAAAAACACTTTGTTAATCATCCTAATACTTTTTAAATATTTCAAAAAAATTTCAAAGATTTTCTTTTTCTTCTTGGGGTTTTTTATATGAAATTATGCCCAATATATGAACAACATCTTAGAAAATCCTTCTAAAGTCAAACCACCTAGTCAACTGGTCCAACTAGCCAAGTATGATTCAGTAAATGCTCCTGTGAATTCTTGAGCTAAGAATTAGACATCTTGAAATGCAAAGTTTAAGTGCAGTTTATACATGATTAACTATAATCTCAAATGAAGATAAGGTATAATTGTCTTAAGGGTGTCATCATCAAAAACAAAATTTTCATTCTTCCCGAAACTTACATGCAATTTTTGCTGCACATGAAATTAAAACTATATATTTGGGAAGATGTGCAACTATATTTTAAATCAAGAATTTGACAGATATATTGTTTGGTTTAAACTTTTTATTTTAACTTAGCATTTACTTTTTTAAAAAAAAATATATTTTATTGATTTTTTACAGAGAGGAAGGGAGAGGGACAGAGAGTTAGAAACATCAATGAGAGAGAAACATCGATCAGCTGCCTCCTGCACACCCCCGACTGGGGATGTGCCCGCAATCACGGCACATGCCCTTGACCGGAATCGAACCTGGGACCCTTCAGTCCACAGGCCAACGCTCTATCAAGTGAGCCAAACCGATTAGGGCTTAGCATTTACTTTTTATTGAATTTATTGAGTGACATCTATTTTCTATATATATAAAAGCCTAAGTAACCTTTACGACTGAATGACCAGAACAACCAGTCGACCCACCGCTATGATGTGCACTGACCACCGGGGGCAGACGCTCAATGCAGGAGCTGCCCCCTGGTGGTCAGTGTGCTCCCACAGCCAACCTCCCATGGCCCCTCCCCCCAGCCAGCGGGGCGGGAGGGGGGCGGGGGGAGGGTATAGGCCTCAATTGTCGGCCAGGCTGAGGGACCCCACCCATGTACGAATTTGTGCACCAGGCCTCTAGTTGGTTAATAAAATTATATAGGTTTCAGGTATACAATTCTATAATACATCATCTGTATATTGTATTGTGTGTTTAGCATCCCAAGTGGATTTTGCATCTAAAATCTTTAGTCATTTTAAATGTAAATGTTCTTTATGTATGAAATCAATGTTGGATCTTGGCTCTCCAAGTCTTTTCTAAGTTTTTCTTATGTGTGATTATCCTCAGACCTCTTATGACAAGATATTTTAATTTCTAATTGTTAAGTGGATACATAGAAAACTTAAATTTATTCACATTAGAGCCTTTGAATACAAATATTATGCAATTGTCTCTTGGTGAATCATTCCTCACTAAAAGTTAATATTTCTCTGTTCTTCCCTTTGCATGAAATCTTTTAAATGATTTTTAAGGATATCCTATACAAACTACTGACCTAGTACTTTGTGAACTTTTATTTAAATAAAACTGGCACAATTGGTTTTTAAATAATAATAACAGCATTTGAGCCTATCATTCCTTAGTTAGGAGAACTTCTAAGGAAATCCTATTTTTTATGGTTTAATTACAGCTGGACTAAGAGTATATGTTATGTTTTAGTTCCAAATAAAGTGGGGGTAGGGGAAACAGAAATATTCATTGAGGTTTTACTTCTCCTGAGGAGCTATTTTTTAAGACCATACTATTCTAGTCAGACTACTGTTTAGGGCTGATGGAATTCTACTAGTCTTCTATTCTACCAATAGAAGAAAAAAATTTTACTTTTACCTTAAGTTAATGATACGCAAATTGATTTGAAAAGTTTGGTAATTGTCTTATATAGTCTTGCAAAAGTGAATAGACTATGTTTCTTAGTTGTACTTTTAAATTCGTGTTTGAACAATAGTTGTTTTAGGGCTCTGCATTCTTTAATAATAAAAATCAAGAAAAATCATTTGAGAACAAGTTCCAAAGAAACAAAATTTTATGTATGGAAGTTTGACTTAAATGAGGTTGGTAAAAGTGGATTCAAAATACAAAATAATATAATGCCATTAGGTTGTCAGTTGAATATATAAAATAAATCTTTAATCACTTTGGGAAATGTTTTTATTATATAAATTTTTCTCTCTTGTAGAATTTTGCCTTGAAAAAAATATAAAAATGCTGCTCTGGGAGGGCATGAATTTTGAACATGGAGAGTTTTTGGTTTTTGTTTTTTAAACTTGGTTGTCACTTAAATTTTACTTTGTGCTTCTCTAGAGTGGCCATTAAAACATTTTTTTTCTATTATTTGCTGTTCTTGATTGGCAGCAAATTGAATTTACTTATACATTTATAAAAATATATAAGATTACTTTAATTTTTGTTTTAAAATTTAATTTTTCTGACAGTTGATAGAATACCCTGGGGAAAAACTAAAAAGGAGGCAAGGATTAACTTTTTTCTTCTAAACAGACTTTACAGGAAAAAAGAACATATACGTAACCCTGATATAATTCATTTAACATGATTAAGACTCATGATTCCATCCCCCTGATATAACCACTCTTTAAATTTTTAAACCAAATTCCAAACTAATCTATTAGTTTAAAAATATTTAAGACATTAAGTAATTTAGGAAAGCAGTTAGAATGAATGAAATGATTTCTAGATACTACTTAATTTTGCTTCAAATGTTATATAATAAGTTGGTATTTTAGAATTAATTTATATCTATTTTTTCCACTGGGAATATTGTATGTATTTGATTTTGTAAGCCTGGCCTGATAGTATGCTTAGACAGAAGTCTAGGGCCCTGTGGAGCAGACGCATTTCCTGGAAGAATTCTCTGTTGTATATGGAAAAACCCTAGCTCAAAGTGGAATTCTTGCCAAATTGTCATAAGCTGTTAGATTCTAGTTTAATACTATGTTGCTTTATATCACAACTATCTTTTTTCACATTGGTTTCCATAGTCTTAAAATACTTGAGGGTCTACTTGAAAGGTGAATTAAATATTTTGTTAATTTTACAAAACATTTTCTTATACCTAAAACTAGAGACCCGGTGCATGAAATTTGTGCATGGGCGGGGGGGGAGGGGCGGGGTGTCCCTCAGCCCAGCCTGTACCCTCTCGCAGACTGGGACCCCTCGGGGGATGTCTGCCTACCCAGAACCCCTCAGGGCATCTCCCCCTGGGGATCAGCCTAAGCTGTCAGGCAAACATCCCTCTTGCAGTCCCGGATCCCTCTCACAGTCCGGGATCCTTACTACACC